ATGCCACTTAAAATGGGAAAAAAAACATCATACTGAGATATGATAATAACTGAAGATTTTCACTTTTAATTTATACTAACAACTTGGACCACAGCGACACAGAGAATTGTACACGTACATCTAGAAATATATTTGATATATATATATATATATATATATAAAATAAAAAACGCTATAATGTTTAAGACAATGGATGTAGCTGTTGCAGAATACTGCAAGCAGGTTACAGAAGTCATTGGGATAGTGTTTTAAACATCTCTGCCCCCGAAATGGTTAAACATTAAGCCCAGTCTACCCTATATTAGGCCCCAAAGGTTGCCGTAGAGTCATTCTCTATCAGGATTGAACATTAAAACTCTGCCCAGATATACCAGGTTACAGAAGGAGCAGAGAGACAAAACAATACTGGGTAGCAGCCAGATCTGGCCGTGGCCAGTCCTGCTTATGTTCCAGTGAAAACTCAGCCTGACAGCCATGTAGTCCCACTGGTATGTTAAAAAAATAGCATTGCTGCTGACTCTCAGGATAATGCCCTTCAATTCAGTTTATAGATTTTTTTGTGTGTAAATTAATTAACATGGGCATCATTTCATCCTTTTATTCAAACATTCTATTTAGCGTCCTACTGTGAATGGCTTTTTGTCTAATCCACTCTGATTTGCAAAGCACTGCATTTTACCAACTCTGCTGGGAGGCAAGTCTATGAATACACCACCTGAAAGTAATAATTCTTCAGATTTCTTTAGAATGTAATACTTAGAAAATCCAAAGAGGATAATATTTTTTTAATATAAATGCTGTAAGCTAGTTTCTGTAATAGAGAAGGCACATGCTATGAATGAGATGAAAGAAGGACAGCAACACAAACATACTATAAAACCATCTAAGGTTAAATCTGTTTCAAAAAAAATATAATATTTCTTAAATACAACATGTTTTATGGAAATTATTATTTAAATATTTGCATATACATTTTAAAAATAGAATTAATTGATTGTCACTGTCTCAGCAGTCTAATGTGTGGGCTGCTCTACAGTCACATTTCTTAAATATTACACTGCTTAACAATATATAGTCAGTAAGTGTATAGTGAGTATTTAAGCCATTCAATACCAGGGGGTCCATATCACTGCATAATTTAAATGGTTAATAAATATGATAGTCATGTCCATTTGTTAGCTATAGATCCTTTACATCAAAAACATGAAATATGAAACCGTATCGGATTATGCTTTGCGTTTCGGTTATATTCAATAAATCGTATAGTTGTAGCTTTCTTAACCATCACTGCTCGGAGGGTCCAGTTTAAAATAACTGGTCAGAAATTCCACACTTTAAACACAGTGCCTTATTATAAAAATGGAAATTGTCACAGGATGAAAATAATACATTATTTTAAAATGATTGAGCGGGTATACTTAAGACAATTAGGTAACCCAGAAGTGACATTTGAGTCACTGCAGCTTAGAAGGTTTCATAGGTTATTAAACCCCCTCACAATGTGAATAAAAGTATCACCACTGCATCTTTGGAATATAAGCTTAATATATGCTTAGACAACTTTAATTGCAATTGATAGAGCACAAAGACCCAGTACCTACAAAGCTACAGTGTCTTGCATGGTGATTCATTTCATTAAGTATGCAGAATATGGAGTTATAGAAACACTGATTAGATCTTTTAAACATAACAAATGTTGCCTATCCTCAGTCCCAAATAGAGTTTTATTGCAGTTAGCGTACCATATATTTAAATGAAGCAAACTAGGCTTTGGTTAAAGAAGGGCATGTATGAAACAACATTCCTGCATCAACTTAAATTGTCTAATTTTTTCATATTTCTAACACACACACATACATACGTGCACAAACAATATATAACTGTATGTATGTGTGTATATATATAGATAGATAGATAGATAGATAGATAAAAAAGGTCTTTGAGTACATTGGTACTATGTACATTATAACATTCTTATTATAAAATTGCTTTGTCTATAATAAATCTTGTTTGTAAAGAGAAGATAAACTGGAGAATGATCACTGGAGAACTACAAATAGAATTCCCGAGCTCATATGTGGGACGTGACAATAGGTAAGTATTTTGACAAAGCCATACGGTTTTACAATTTGACAAGGTTTGCGGAATACTTCCCCTTACCATATACATTAAAAAAGCTACAGTTCTAATGCAATAATTCCATACATGAAGTGGTACAGACCCATGCAATAAAACTATTTAATAACCAATTAAATTACATTCTATAAACACATCTAAATAAAATGGATTAGAGCAGGTTTCAATGTATTTTTCATTTTTGAATTTTTTTTATTAATATATTTTATTTTGTAGTTTATTAAAATTAGAAAAAATATATATATTTTAACCTGGACAAAATGAAGAAAGTTACTAAATGCCTATAACATCCCCAGCAATGTGACTCAGGCCTCATTGACTGGAATGGTTTAATTAAAAAAAAAAGTTGATGCTAATCACACTCCTGAAGACAACCCTTCACAAAAGTTTTTTTAGACACATAATTAGCATGTCCTGCCTTGTTTTAGAACTCAGTAGCATACCAGTGCTACACCAAACTGGTACAATTGTCCTTAGAGTTCAAAGTGACTATTGGTTAGCCAAGGTCAAAAGGTGACGAAACATGAAGATCATAAAGCAAGCTTATTTTTCAACTGGGTAATTTTGCCTGTGCTTCATTTGGATACATGGCACAATGTTGATAATCTTGAACGAAAGGAGGGATACAGATACATGACTTACTGTTCCCTTTTAACATACAGACAAATCAGAAAGAAAAAGACAGAGGACAAACAATGTCCCTGCTTTTCTAGAATATCACTGAAGTCCTTGAAATGGCTTTTGCAAAGAAATTACACTAAAATCATCTCTAGAGATTTTATTGTGGAACTCAGAGATTCCTTCTATTAACCATTTGATGCTTCAGTGTAACCAGGAAGAGAGAACTTCATGAGGTTAATAACTCTCTACGTATGCATCACGCATCCCAACTGACAAGCATAAGCTGAACTATAGTAATTTTCAAACGCATGGACCACGAGCAAAAGCCAAACTCAGTTTCCCAAGGGGCAACTGGAATAAACTCTGCAGTGAAACAGCACTTAGATAATATGCAGAAGCTCTAAGGAGAGGTCCACGAAATGTACTGGTTGGCCAGTGAAGCAACCTGGAATGTCCTTCAGTAAAGACGAGTCTCCCATATGAATGTAGGACTTGCTGTGAAACATCTTAAAGATGCTCTTGTGGTCAGACTCATAAGATAATTAACCCCTTTTCTGACAGAATGACCAGAAAAAGTATTGTTGCCTGCAATACATTGCTGGCTCCTTTAACAAAGAAGGGTGAGGACATCACATACAATCTATATATATATATATATATATATATCAAATGACATGCAGAACTTACCAATACGGATAACGTGTGGCATTCCTTGACAATTCTGAAGCCAGAAGATGTAGCAGAGAAAAACTGCCCAAAATTTTAAAACCATACTCCGAAAAGAGACCCAGTAATGTGTCATTGTTAGAAACAAAATCCCCCCTTAAGTTAAGTTAATGCGTGATTCCCTGGGACTTCAGATGCTGTTTTAAGATTCCAGCGATAGCCCAAGACAGACACACTGGAATGCCTCTGCACTGCACATGTTAGCACCCTCTCCCAAAGCTTGTACAGATGAAATCAAAGGTTTGATACTCTAGCACTAATCACACAAAAAGATTCACTCTTTATCAGTGTTCCACTGCTCTTCGCTTCTCCTTAGTCCCATTCACCTGCTGGAGACTAGATGCTGAGATGCAGTCCTCATTGATGCTATCAACTGGTCCTTAGCAAATCTGCGGACTGGAATCATAGACATAAGAGATCAGGAGCTCCCTTGGGCTTGAGAAGAAGGAAAGACAGATGCAGCAGCAGCCATCCTGCAGATGAAGTGAAAAAAATATATATGTATATTCCCTTCTGTGGCTTCAGAGCTTTTGCACAAGTGAGGAAACTGGACTGACAAAGGCAGACACACTCAGGCAGCCTGCCTGCTCCCCATGCAAAGCAGCAACCATCTCCTGACGGTGATTTGTTCAGTTGGGTGAAAGCAATTCATTCTACTTGCATGTAGTCTTTGGGGGGTGGAGGGGTGGACTGCAAATGAAGATAAACAAGAGAGTGATGCTGGATTACAAACGGTAGCTCAGGCACTTAGAATATGGGTGTCAGATCTGAATTCACACAAGGCAGATCCAGTACCCCCTCCCTTTGGCTATGAATCTACTTATTTGGAGTGAGAAAAACTGCCAGGATTTTCTTGGCTTTCACAGTGTGGTTTGCTGGCTCTGTGAAGAATTTTTGTATAAAATGAACCCCCAGCCTTGAGGATATAAATGGGTGGAGGGTTTGGTATAACGGTTAAGGAAGTAGCTCTTCTAAAGAAGCTACATTTTTGACGAAAATAGTGATTGTAAATTAGCGGACTATTGAGTTTTGTCCTGTTCTGAAAGCAAATATATATATATATATATATATTTCCAAATGATCTAAATTCTAATAAAGGACTGTTTACAGTACTATTTCCACTGACATGTTTCTGTAAATAATAAAGAAAAAAAAGTGATTTATTTTGTAGGGTGCATCTGACGTACTTTTGTGCTACACTTGTATCTGTTTAAGAACAACAATCGGAATAACTGTAAAAAGAATAATCTGTAGGAATTTAAATAATACCCGCAGAAGAAGGCATTTTATAAACAAACAAACAAAAAAAGGATTTGTTTACAATTGTAAAAAAAAGTAGGCAAAGCACCTGGAACAATGACAGTGAATAGCAAATTAGAATTACATACTACGCATGTATTGTTTCATTTCAGAACAAATGATGGCAGTGAAATTAATTTAGGATCTGGTATCTATTTAAAAATGTATTTTAAGCTTTACAATCCAGCACCTAGAGCAGGCTTCCCCCAACTCCGGCCCTCCAGATGTTGCTGAACTACAACTCCCATGATACTATGAATGAAATATAGGCTGAGAATCATGGGAGTTGCAGTTCAGCAACATCTAGAGGGCCGGAGTTGGGGGAAGCCTGCTCTAGGTGCTGGATTGTAAAGCTTAAAATACATTTTTAAATAGATACCAGATCCTCAAAAGTACAGTTCAATTTGGTGCCAAAATTCATTTATAACTCACACACTGAATTATTCCTTTATTATAGCACCAGTATATTCTCCAGCACTGCACAATGCCTAAATTAAAGCAATTGAAGAAAAGCACTTTTGACATACAGGAGAAGGATGTCAGGCCGTGTTAAAATGTGCGTTTAGCTCCAGATCATGCTACTAAGGGTAGCTCAAACACATGATAGGGTGAGCAGTGTATATTCATGGTCGCAGGGGTAGTATAAAGACATTTTTACATATTAAAGGAAGGAGGTGCAGTTTGATTGCCTGTTACATAGGGCAGTATATACCTATGGTAGAAGAGCCATATAAACGCTACCTACTCATGATAAAAAAGGCAATACTTAAGGTAGGGAAGGGCAGTTCTAAATCTCTAGCATGGAGAGTTCAGGTTGTTGGTGTGATTGCTCACTGTTAATTCAGACTCCTGCTAGGTGGGGCAGTTTGCATGCAAGCTGAGCTGCTGCTGTATTTAAACTGGTTCTAGAATACAGTTCTGGTTTTGTGCTCAAGTCACATTTTGACTAGTGAAAGCTGTGTGTGTTTGCACTAAGAATAATTATCACACAGTTCTAAGTATCATTAGTAATAGGAATTGCAATTAATGTATGTGCTCTATAGTGTTTTATGGGATTAGGCATAAGTGCCAACAGTCCCAAATTTGCCGGAACACTCCTGCATTTTGAATTCTGCCAAGATTTTATAAATCAGCAGGGGACTGGGCACAATGGTCCAGGAATGGAGTAGCACAAATGGACTGATGGAGCTCCTGCTTGAGGCCCATGTTCCAAAATAAGCCCATAGGCATATGCAGAGAGCATGTGGTGATGTGCGGGGAGCAGCATCCACCAGCCTCTCCTTGCTCAGGGGAAGGAGGTATCAGCATGAATGCAGAGAGTTTTATAATATGCAGACACCTGCAATATATGTTCAGTTTGTGTATATGTAAAGCAGATGGTTTCGCTGCCTACCTGTGATATGTATCTGAGAAGGAGCTAGTCTCCACTTCCTCCACACACCATCTCCTTCAGAGTGTAACAGCTTACTGAGAGAATGTAGGGAAATTTCATTTTAAGCACCCCTCTCCCAGTGCATCACACTGCATGGGAGATGCTTTGTTAAAGAGTGGAAGAACCTGATGCAGCTCCCGATCACTAGGCAGTGGCACTGAGCCCGGTAAGTGGCTACCAATTTATCCCAGAGTGAGAAGTAGGGATTGGGGAAGAGAGCAAACTAGATGGAAAGGGAGATGGAGCTGGGGGAGTCTGGGACCCCTAGTTCCAATATGTGGATTACCATGGCAACACTCCATGTTGCAGCAGGCGAGTCCTTCCAGGGTTACAGAGAGAGGAGCTGCTGTAAAGTGAAGATGGTGTGTACTGAGCCCCCTATTATTTTTTTTAATTATTATTATTATTATGTTATGATTTATATAGCGCCAACAAATCACGCAGCGCTTTACAGTGGGTGGACAAATAAACATGTTGTTGTAACAAGACAAGTTGGACACACAGGAACAGAGGGGATGAGGGCCCTGCTCAATGAGCTTACATGCTAGAGGGAGTGGGGTAAAATGACACAAAAGGTAAGGATAGTAGACTAATGGCAGTTGCATGAGAGGAATCAGTCGGGAGCTAATAACAGTTTAATTGATATGCTTTTATGAAGAAGTGTGTTTTTAAAGATTTTTTTGAAGGAGTGGAGACTATGTGAGCATCTAATGGAGAAGGGATGTGAGTTCCACAGGAACGGTGCAGCCTATGCAACATACAATGCCACCAGACCACCAGGGAATGTAATCTCCCCTATCCCTGGACAGGTAAGAAGCAAGGAGAAGGGAATAAAATTAAATGTATTAAAATAAATGTAAGAAAACAAAACAAAAATGCTTTTTTGTTCCACAGAATGCATCAACTATTTCACACAACATTTACACATACTACATCCATTATGAAAACACACACAGCATCCACTACACGAACACACAGCATCCACTACACAAACACACTCTGAATTCACTATACACACTACATCTACTACACAAACACCACTACACAAACACACTCTGAATTCACTATACACACTACATCTACTACACAAACATACACTCTGAATTCACTATACAAACACACACTCTGCATCTAACACACACAAACACTGCATCAATTACACAAACATACCATCTGCATTCACTATACACACTGCATCCACTTTACACACACACAATATACACTACACACACCGCATCCACTACACACACATTCTACATCCACTATACACACCACATTCTGTACACACACACACTACATCCTTGTTAGCAGACTCAGGATGGACCCTGTGGGTGGACTCGCAGGGCGGGACCTTGAGCTATGATGGCAGCCCTGGCCTCCAATAATCCAGTTTTCTATTCTGAACTAAAATTGAGTGTTTTCAATATGTTTCTATTTGTTGCACTTAAAGATAATCAAAATTTTTAGTTTATGTTAAAAAAAATGTGCTTACCTTTTTCATATTATGCATTTTTATAAAAAGGCCCACCAAAATATTCAGCACTGGGCCCATGAAGACCTTAATCTGACCCTGACTAGGACCATGCATGGAGTGCTATATCAGTGGTCTGTGCGTGGTCTGTTGAAACGGACAGGCCATTCTCTTGTGGTTAACATGCCCCCTCAAAGGGTTGGAGTGAGTGACCCATGGTGGCGGTGGGGTTATGGTATGGGCAGGTGTATGTTATGGACAACGACCACAGGTGCATTTTATTGATGGCATTTTGAATGCACAGAGATACCGTGACGAGATCTTGAGGCCCATTGTTGTGCCATTCATCCACGACTATCACCTCATGTTGCATCATGATAATGCACTGCCACATGTTGCAAGGATATGTACAAAAGGTGTAATGTATTTCAGGTGAGTATTAGTGGTACCATTCCAATTAGGTAAGATGGACTTAAAGGTTTATGACAAGACTAGGGCAATCATTTTGATGATTTCTATAAAATGTAATTCAAAACCTGCTTTAGCAGTTCTGACATAGGCTAAATTCTATGGGGTAATCGTTATAAGGAGACTGATTACAGGAGTTCCTGTTCTAACTGCCACTAGAAGTGAGGTTTAAACCAATAATAAGAATTGAGTAGAACATCTAGCCAAGGGGTTTGACTTGGACAGCAATGAAATTAATCTAATTTACATCTCTGCAGAGTTCCCTAAATGCTGTTCCTGGTTTCACATGTTTGGATTTTTGAGTTTATAGAATATATGCATACCAATACTTAAGATGTATTAAATTTGTAGAGCATGTAAGGTAAGATGAGTTACATAACAGTTTTTCAATATCTTATTAGATCTAAAAACAGCACAATAAATTATTTAAATGATATGTGACAATCCAACACAAATTGCACCTGTTTTTTGCAAGCATTTCCAAAGATCTAAAGTTAATTCTGGTTAGGCACTGAATATGCAGTTCATATTGTTTTTTTGTGCATTGCAGTTAAGCATTTAAATATAATTACATTTTCAGGTTATATCTCTCAGGTCCAGAGCATCCTTTTGTTCCAGGCTGTTTATACTGGTGGTGCTTTTATGATCAATACTAACATGTATATTTACCATACAATTCTGTAGATTTGCCATTTTAAATACGTAAATGTATCCATAGTCAAACAATAATGTGTTTAGTCTATAATAATTACACACTAGTCAACATTTTACAAAGATCTTACACTCAACAACTTTATAAACGCAACACTTTTATTTTTGCCCACATTTTCCATGAGCTGGACTCAAAGATCTAAGACTTTTTCTATGTACACAAAAGGTCTATTTCTCTCAAATATTGTTTACAAATCTGTCTAAATCTGTGTTAGTGAGCACTTCTCCTTTGCCGAAATAATCCATCCACCTCACAGGTGTGGCATATCAAAATGCTGATTAGACAACATGATTATTGCACAGGTGTGCCTTAGGCTGGCCACAATAAAGGGCTACTCTAAAATGTGTAGTTTTATCACTCAGCACAATGCCACAGATGTTGCAAATTTTGAGGGAGCGTGCAATTGGCATACTGACTGCAGGAATGTCCACCAGAGTTATTGCCCGTGAATAAAATGTTCATTTCTCTACCATAAGCCGTCTCCAAAGGTGTTTCAGAGAATTTGCCAGTGCATCCAACTGGCCTCACAACCGCAGACCACGTGTAACCACACCAGCCCAGGACCTCCCCATTCAGCATCTACACCTTCAAGATTGTCGGAGAGCAACTACCTAGACATCTGCTACAACAATTGGTTTGCTTAACCAAAGAATAAACAAAGTCGGCATAACCAACTTGAGTGGGCAAATGCTCACATTAAATGATGTCTGGCACTTTGGAGAGGTGTTCTCTTCACAGATGAATCCTGGTTTTCACTGTACAGGGCAGATGGCAGACAGCGTGTATGGTGTTGTGTGGGTGAGCGGTTTGCTGATGTCAATGTTGTGGAGTGAGTGACCCATGGTGGCGGTGGGGTTATGGTATGGGCAGGTGTATGTTATGGACAACGACCACAGGTGCATTTTATTGATGGCATTTTGAATGCACAGAGATACCGTGATGAGATCTTGAGGCCCATTGTTGTGCCATTCATCCACGACTATCACCTCATGTTGCATCATGATAATGCACTGCCACATGTTGCAAGGATATGTACAAAATTCATGAAAGATGAGAACATTTCAGTTCTTGCATGGCCAGCATACTCACTAGACATGCCACCCATTGAGCATGTTTGGGATGCTCTGGATCGCCGTATACGACAGCGTGTTCCAGGTCCTGCCAATATCCAGCAACTTCCCACAGCCATTTAAGAGGAGTGGACCAACTTTCCATAGGCCACAATC